AAGATAATTGGGAGGGTGGTCAGAAAAGATCCTGTGTGGAAGATAATACTTGGTCTTAGCCTAAACTGAGGCTGGGTATCCTAAGAGTTGAGGAGGAAGAGAGAATTTCCAGGCCTAGAGAAGCAGGGTAGCCATCCTGTAAATAGGCATAGAGGAAAAGCATGGAATGCAATGTAGGCCAGTTTGACTGAAAAGTAAAGTATGTGAGAGGGTGTGATGTGATATTGGTCTAGAAATATGGGTTGGGCTTTAATGTGACAGGAGTTTCTGTTTCATCCTGAAGGCAAAAAAGGAACCATGCAAACTTCTGAAGCAGAGCAATGAGGTAGTCAGACCTGTGCTTTAGGAACATCAATTTGGCAGCTGTGTGGAGGATAAATTGAAAATGAGAAAGACCAGAAGCAGGCAGATCAGTTAGGAAGATATTGCAATATTCAGTCCAGAGATGGTGAATGGCCAATCTAAGAGAGTGAAGAAAACACAGGGGAGATGTGGAGGTGGAATTCACAAAACTCGACAGCTGATTATCTGTGGAAATGAGAGATGATGGACATTGTGAACCTTGAGCATGATTAGTGGGGTGGGACATGGAAGATTTTCCAGCCCCCTTGACCATGGTTAGTGGAATCGGACACAGAAGGTGATCCCCCAGAGAGACTAGGAAGGCATCTTTTAGAAAGGTAGGAGAACACCTAGAGGATGGGACATGGAAATTCAGGGAAGAGAGGCTGTCTAGAAGTAGGGTAGTCATCCGTCAAAGGTTGCCTGATTGAGCAATTAAGAGATTCTTATAAAGGTGTTTCAGTCAAGTGATGACCTCAGAAGCTGGATTAGAATAGGATGAGACTTTGAATGAGAGAAAGGAAGTGGTTTGTTTGTTTGGTTTTTTTGCTAGTAGTTTGCCTATGAAAAAGGGAGGAGAGATGTAAAATATGGAAATTTGAACTGACAGAGACTCAAGTGAAGGGTTTTTAGGGATGGAGTTAAGTCAACAAGCATTTAAGTGTCAGCTAAGTTCTAGGGATATAAAGAAAAGAAGAAGAGCAAGGAATAATTTGCCTTTCAGATCTATGGAGAAGGGAAGAATTTATGACTCAACAAGAGATAGAGAATATTATGAAATGCAAAATGGACAATTTTGATTACATTAAATTGAAAAGTTTTTGCACAAATAAAGTCAATACATCCAAGATTTGGAGGGAAGCAGAAAAATGGGAAAGAATTTTTACAACCAGTGTCTCTGATAAAGGCCTCATTTCTAAAATATATAGAAAATTGAGTGAAATTTTTGAGAATACAAGTCATTTCCCAATTAGATAAATGGTCAAAGGATACGAACAGGCAGTTTTCAGAGGAAGAAACTAAAGCTATCTGTAGTCATATGAAAAAATATTCTAAATCACTATTGATTAGAGAAATGCAAATCAAAACAACTTGGAGGTACCACATCACACCTATCAGATTGGCTAACGTGACCAAACGGGACAATGAAAAATGTTGGAAAAGATGTGGGTAAATTGGAATATTAATACATTGTTGGTGGAGTTGTGATCCAACCATTTTGGAGAGCAATTTGGAACTATGCCCAAAGGGCTATAAAATTGTTCGTACCCTTTGATCCAGCAATACCAATATCAGTTCTGTATCCCAAAGATATCATAAAAAAAGGGAAAAGGGCCCACATGTACACAAATATTTATAGCAGCTCTTTTTGTGGTGGCAGAGAATTGGAAATTGAGAGGATGTCCATCAATTGGGGAATTACTGAACAAGGTATATGATTGTGATGGAATACTATTGTGCTACAAGAAATGATGAGCAGGCAGACTTCAAAAAAACTTGGAAGGACGTCCATGAACTGATACAGAGTGAAATGAGCAGAACCAGGAGAACATTGTACACAGTAACAGCCACATTATGGGATGATTGACTTTGATAGACTTGGCTCTTCGCAGCAATGCAAGATTCTAAGACAACTCCAAAAGACTCATGATAGAAATTGCTATCCACACCCAGAGAAAGAAATGAGTCTGAATGCAGATGGACGCATGCTATTTGCTCTCCTCTTCCTTTGTTGTTTTGTTTTATTGCTTCATTCTTATGGTTCCTCCCCTTAGTTCTTTTTTTTTCTCCCCCCCCATTAGTTCTAACTGTTCAGTATGACTAATGGGGAAGTAAAAAAAAGGCAAAACCAAACCAAACTACACCCTTCCCCCTTCCCTGCCCCAGGAACCAGTCCCTGCCCTCAAGGAGCTGAAGATACAAAATATGACCAACTATGTGCAGGACTGGGGTATGTAGCCTGCAGAAGAGGCCTATATCAAGAAGAGATCTCAGATTAAAGAGGGAGGGGCAGTGACTGGAGGGACAAGCTGCTGGAGAAAGAGTCAGGATAATATGGGATCATAGGCACAGGTAAAGGGGTTGGACTTAGTAGTCTTCGTGAGAAGAGTCTTGTCTTCCTCAGGGACTCAAGGAAATGAAGAGAGAATGGGAGATGATGTCAAGGCGTTCCAAGGCATAGAAAAGGGGGGAAGGGGCTCTCAATGAAAGGCCTCTTTTCAAAGTAAAGTATGAGACGTGGCCATCTGCTGAGAGAGAGCTGGAGGAGGAGGAGCAGGAAGCTTGAAGAGAGAAGGTTTGGAACAGCCCCTGTGGGATTGTTGTTGAATTTGTCCTTCATTCTCAAAGAGCACCAGTGACATCAGGAGGGTGAAGTCTGGACTTGCAAGTGAATTGGATTTAAGTGAGGCAGAGTTGAGTAAAGTTGTCAACCTCACTCTGTCCTCCAGAATCATCCAGATCCAATGGCAAGATATAGGTTAGGATAACTGGTGATGGATTGCTCCTGGAATAACGAATAAATTAAGAGAGTAAAAGGATTGCAGTATAGCTATCAGGGCCCAATAAAAAAGAGATAATAAATATGTCTTGGACCTAGTCAGAACCGTTGTGTAAACTCTTCCAGTATCTTCAGTAGAGTAAGAATAGGAGAAAAGGAAGATAATTAGGTAACTCTGGGTGGGGATTTAAAGATTTGAAAGTTGAGAACAGTGAATTAGTTGGCTAATTATAGGATTAAGATGGAGAAGGGAGGAAAGTGAAGCCACACCAAGAGAGACAGGCAGAGAGAGCACTGAGAAGAAGAAAAACTAGAGGTCACAAACGGTATGAAGAATAGGTTTAGGCAGATGGAAGCCCAAGGAGACATGGAAGGATGGGTGAAGGTCAGGCAGGAATTGCAGAGTGCCTACCAGATTGTCAAGTGTGTGGCCATTTCTGGGTAGAGCTGAGACAAGAGTCTTCACAAATCATGGGACCTGATTGAGGAGGCTGATGAACTGGGAGGCCAAGGGGCATTAACCTGTGCATCGAAGTTCCCAAGTATAAGAGAAGTGTTTGGGGTGGAGAGAAAGACTGTGATTGGCTTACTCAACTCCTTGAGAAAAAGAGGAGAATGACTATGAGATGATAGATTTGGACTCAACCTTAGTTGAGTCCTGCCTCCTCATTTTACAGATAGGAACTGGAGGCCAGAGAAATTCAAGAATTTGTTCAAAGTCACCTAGCTGGTAGCCAGGTCTTCCTGACTCCAGCACTCAATGCTTTTTACTACTCTACCCCTCAAACCCTTTAGAGCAACTGCTGCCAAGAGGATCTGTAGGGCATTATATCTGGATGGCTTCATTCCTTCATTTATCTCTAGCCTCTATTCCTGACTCTCTGGACTTCTGTTGCTACCATGTGCCATGTGCCAGTAGCCTTCTCATCTGGGAAGATCTCTCTGCCCCTGTGGTCCTTTCCCCTGCTTAGTCATTTCCTCCCAGGAGCTCCATTTTAAAGAAGGGCCCCCAGANGCCCCTGTGGTCCTTTCCCCTGCTTAGTCATTTCCTCCCAGGAGCTCCATTTTAAAGAAGGACCCAGCCTTTCTTCCTCTCTGGGCCCCACCCCTTACTCTCTGAACTTTTTCTCCATCATCAGGCCCTTGAGCAGGTACCTTCTTCCCCCATCCTTTACACTGTATTTGGATTTCCAGTTCTTAGCACAGTGCCCGGCTCTTAAGAAATACTTTGTGATTTGACTCAGATTGAACCTCCAAGGAGAAGTTCTTATATGATGGGGCAGAAGAAGGAACTAGAAATGTTTATAAAGATCAGATGCAGGGCTGTTATCCCAGTGTCTGGTGTCATGAGAAGGTTCATACAGACCTGGATGGGACAGCCAAGGATCGAGTGTATTTGTTTTTTTGCGGGGCGAGACAGAGGGAAAGCCAGATGATTAATTTCAAAAAATGGGAGAGAGAAGAAAAGAAGAAAGAGAAGGTTCTTCGATGGAACATTATCCCAATTGGCATAATAGTAGGGGAAGGCAAAAGCTGGGTGGGAACTCGACCGGGGCACGGCTGATGTGGATGCGCACGAGAGAGCAGAGGTTGGTAGTAGTTATAGTCTGCTTATCCCTAGGCAGCAGGAATCCCGTGTGGCCAGAGTTAAGGGTAGAAGAGGTGGGAGCTTGCTAGCCATAGGGCAGGTATTCAGGGCCTTTTGATTGGGGACCCTCAAGGGCTCTGAGATGGCAGAGGATGCGTTAGAGGAAAGTGAGAAAACGGAGAAGACTTAGATACAGAAGTGGGCTGAGAATCCGAATCCCACGTTT